CTCTCTCTCTCTCTCTCCTCTCTCTCTCTCTCTCTCTCTCTCTCTCTCTCTCTCTCTCTCTCTCTCTCTCTCTCTCTCTCTCTCTCTCTCTCTCTCTCTCTCTCTCTCTCTCTCTCTCTCTCAGGTCAGTACATGTACCATATGCTAGTACATATATGTAACTCACCTGTGTTGCGTAGATATGAATACACATATTTGTGACTATGAACTGAAAAAATGTCCAACATTTCGTGAGCTGACTGATGGCGCAAAAATCGTGCCACATGATCATGACTGCTGTGGTATGCAAATGCACGGGATAATCGCTTTTATATCCTGTTTGACCTCCTGATATTGTCTTCCTTCCAGACAAACGTCTTCTTGATGGACAGGTCTATAAGATGCCTCCTTCACATGCCAAAAAAGGTGAGTTTGGGTGTCAGATGCACGCACGTATGTTCGTAGGCATGTACGCGGACACACACACACGTATAAGCGCACATTCAGATGCATAAACACACATTCACGCACACATACACACACACGCGCGGGCACACACACGCAAACAAATACACACACACACACACTCACATACTCATTCAAACAGACAAACACACACACACACACACAAACAGACAGACAAAGAGAAAGACAGGCAGATAGAAACAGAGACAAAGAAAAACAAGACAAAATACTAAACGCTTACACAGACACTAAAACACACATCTACACGCGTACATACACACACATACACACACTCACACAACCACATTCTACAACAGGCCTACACGTATACGCAACCCTTCTTTAATCACATCTACATACATAAATTAATGTAATATCCATCCAGAGCCCCCCCCCCCCCACCCCACCTAAAAAAAGTAATAATAATAATAAAATAAAATAGTCTCCCCTTCTACCTACTGTAATTACCTAGGTTGCCTTGTTTAATTACTTTCCAATTATCTCAGCGCTATAGAAAGGTGCGCCCCTCCCCCCCCCCATTCCGTCAAGGGAATATCACTCCCCTCCCTTCTCCTCATATTCTCTTTTATTCTCCTTGTTATTCTCCTCCTTCGCATTTTTTCTTTTCTTCTTCTTCTTTTTCTTCTTCTTCTTCTTCTTCTTTTTCTTCTTCTTCTTCTTCTTTTTCTTCTTCTTCTTCTTCTTCTTCTTCTTCTTTTGGTAATCATCGTATGTTTGTTCATATTTTTTTCCAATCGTGTATTATTTTTATCATCATCATTATTATTGTTAGTGTCATTATTATAAAGATAACGATAATGATAATGTTGATGATAATCATTATTATTATTATCATTGTTATTATTATTGTTATTATTATTATTATTATTATTATTATTATTATTATTATCATTATTATCCTCACCTTAATAGTAATAATAATAATTATTATTACTGTTATTATTATTGTCCTTATTATCTTCTTTATCATTATTCGCTTATTATTCTTTATGTATTTATTCTTCTCCTTCGTGTTCTTTCCCCTCTGTCTTCTTATATATTCTTTTTTATTCTACTTCTTATTCTTTATTCGCATGTTCTTCCTCTTCTTCTTCCTCCTCCTCCTCCTCTTCTTCTTTTCCTTCTTAATCTCTTCGCCTCTCATTCTTCACCCTGTCATTTTTTTCTTTTCTTTTCCCGCAAATTCCGTTCATTATTCTTATTATTTTATTTTCCTTCTTCTCAGGTTCTTTCTCATATTCTTCTTCTGTCTCTTATCATTTCTTTTTCCATTTTTCTATTTCTTTCTTTTTCAATTCTTATTCCTCTTTTTCCGTGTCCGTTGTTTGTTTGTTTCATTCTTTGTATCTTTTACTTATGCCTGTATCTTTATCATTATATTCATCTTTATCCATCTCCGTGCTTTTCTATGTATTTGTTCTTCCTTCTCCTTCTTCTCCTTTTTCTTGTCCATGCTCATAGTTATCTCATCTCTCTGTCTGTCTGTCTGTCTGTCTCTCTCTCTGTCTGTCTGTCTCTCTCTGTCTGTCTCTCTCTCTCTCTCTCTCTCTCTCTCTCTGTCTCTGTCTCTCTGTCTGTCTGTCTCTCTGTCTCTCTCTCTGTCTGTCTCTCTCTCTCTCTCTCTCTCTCTCTCTCTCTCTCTCTCTCTCTCTGTCTCTGCCTCTCTCTCTCTCTCTCTCTCTCTCTCTCTCTCTCTCTCTCTCTCTCTCTCTCTCTCTCTCTCTCTCTCTCTCTCTCTCTCTCTCTCTCTCTCTCTCTCTCTCTCTCTCTCTCTCTCTCTCTCCCTCTCTCTCTCTCGCTTTCCCTCTCTTTCTCCCTCTCGCTCTCCCACTCCTTCTCCCTCTCCCTCTCCCTCTCTCTCTCGCTTTCCCTCTCCTCCCTTTCGCTCTCCCTCTCTTCCTCTCTCCCTCTCCCTCTCCCTCTCCCTCTCCCTCTCCCTCTCCCACTTCTTCTGCCCCCTCTCTCTATCTCATTTATTCAGTGTGTCCGACCACGGAGTACGTAATTTGCCGATGACGTCATATGCTAACTTGAT